GCAGAAAGCGTATGTTAAGAGCATCTGCTGTGGTGCCTTGGATGCCTGGGGGTTCCATATTTGTCGAACGCAAATCCCTCTTTCTGGGCCCTTTCTTTCTTAGTATGGGCTGCTTCCTTGACTTGCCCAAGTCTCGCTCAGATCTCAAGCCCCTGTTTGAATCCCACCTGCTCCCACAAGCCTTTGCTAGGCCTGTGAGCCCCCCGAGACCTCCCCCTTCTCCAAACCCCTTGGCCCTCATGGCTGGGCGACTTCCTTGGCAATGAGCTTTTCCTTTCTCCGCCGCTTCCCATTATTTGTGTGTCTGTCCTTTCCCTGTCCAGGCAGGCCTTATGCCTTATTCTGTCTCCAGTACCTGGCTCTGTGCTGGACACTTAGTAATTGGTCAGAGAAATACACTGTTTTAATCAACATTTTTTGGGAAGTGAGTAACAAATTCCTTCAAATCAGCTTAAGATCGTAAGATCCTGAAGCAGCTCAGAGATTCTAAGGAAAGGTGCATATCGAGCACACACAAGGCGGGAACCAAGCCCCCGCCAGCTTCTTCAGCAGCCAGAGGTCTCTAGAATTCTGTCCTTAATGTGATTCAGCTGTGCCTCTCGGGCGATTCATCAGAGAGAGAGACTTTGATTAGCTCAGCCTGGTCAGGTGTCCACTCTGGTCCAGTCTACTCGGGCCAGGCGGGCAGGTTCATGGGGAGTCAGCTTGGCTGCTGGGGTACCCTGTGTTTATTTGTGGATGATTTGGGAGGCCAGTTCCCTAGGAGAGGGGCAGACGCACACCCAGGTGATATTCTTTCGTGCCGCCTTTTTCTCCACTTCCTATGTTCCTAAAAGGAGATTTTTCAATGAATTTTTCTGAAGCACAAACCCCTTAAGGAAAAAACCCTGTTTTGTGGGATGTTAAATATGCAGAGAAGGAGCAACTCTGGAGGAGGGAGAAAAATTCTATTGCTCTCTGTGGATGTGTGGGCCGCTGGGAGCTGAGGAATGGAAGAGACAATGGAAGGAGAAAATGGAGAAGTGACGCTAACAGAATTGATTTGCCTGATGCTGCCCACGCCCATGGCAACCCTCTTCACCATGTTTCCCCGGGCAGCAGGGTGAGGAATTCCAGGCATGGGCCCTTCCTGAGAGCCCAGCCCTGATGCTGTCACATGGGGGTGGGTGGCTGTTGCTGTGGGGTCTGAAGAAAACAGGGAGAATTCAGCTCCCTGGGGCTGGGGCAGTGAAGGGGGAGGATGCAAACAAATGAAAGGCAAAGTGACTGATTAGGGACAGCCGCTGGCAACCCATCCCTGGCATTCAGGCCACAGTCTCGGTACCAGCAGTATGCCCGTTCTTACAGATGAGGAAACAGCCATAACCCCCATGTGCACTGCCTCTCAAGCAGAGAAAGGACAGCCACTGGAGTTGGACGGACAGGGGTTTAAATCTCCACTCCAAAATTCCCAGAGTTTAATTCTTGTCTCTGACCCTCTCTTCTCTCCCATTCTTAGCATTTGATCCCTCTTCTTGATTCTCGGTCTCCCACGCTACCTACAAAGAGCGTTTGAAATTTTTCCATGGGGCCAAGGACCCTCTTCCTGGGGCCTCGTTCCCGCTCTGCAGTCTGGGCCAAGGCCACACGTCCTGCATCCCCAATAGCCCTCAAGGATAGACCTTCCAGTGCGTCGCCACCTCCTCCTCCCACCTTCTCTGAGCTCAGGATGGGGCCCAGAGTCTTCCTGAGCCTCCAGGGACAGGAGGAGGAGGCAAGAGGACACAACCCAGGGGGTGGGCTCAAAATACCTGATTCTGCTCCTGGATCTGCTGCTGACTCACTGAGTGAATTTAGGCAAATCCTTTTTCTCCTCGGGACAGGGTAAGACAGCAATAGTAGCTGCCACTCCTGAGACCCAAGCAGGTGTCAGGCTCTGTGGGGTACTATTAAAATTCCTGTTTCACAGATGAGGAAACTGAGGCTCAGGAAGTGGCTGACTTGCGCTGGGTCAGAAAGCTTTGTGCTGAAGCCTGGGTTTGAGCAGGGGCTCTGGCTCCCGGCCGTCCCTCGGCTGCAGTGAGCCTCCCTAAAATAGCTTTCAGGTCCTGGAGCACGTGCTATTTCCAGGAACTGTGCCAAGCACCTTGCATCCATTTATCTCCTCGAATCCTGGCTCCTTCTCATGATCTTACCTTAAACGTCACCTCTTTGAGATGTCTCTGAGGCTTCCCATCACATCACTCTCTCTGGCTTACTTAGCTCCTTCATGACATTCGATTGTGAGAAACCCCTCATCGGCTTACTTGTCTGCTCTCTACCTCCTGTTGCAGAACTTCAGCTTCTTGAGGGCTGGGACCCTATTGGTCTAGTCCATTGTTGTGTCCCCAACACCTCTGTGCCGGGCTGGCACAGAGAAGTCACCATAAATACTTGTTAAATAGACAAATGAGTCCCAACAACAACATATCGAGTACATACCGTTACCAGCCGCATTTTACAGAGAAGGAAACCGAGGCCCAGACATGAAACAGCTTGCACACAGTCCTAGATTCAGTGAGTGATGGAGCAAGGATTCAAACCCAAGCAGGAAGACGCCAGAACCTTCCGTGATGAGTCCTAACGGCCCCTCCCAGCTCCAAACTTGAAAGTGTAGACACTCTTCGTCTTTATCTCGCAGAAGAGGGAGGGCCTGTGGTTTTGCCAGGCCAGTGCCAACCCTCTGATTCAGTGGTCGACTGGCAAGGAGGGCCTTTTGCTTGTTTCCACTCGCTCTCCAGGAGACTGCAGAGGTTTGGACCCCTGTTGAGGCCAGGCTGACGGGATTAGAGGAAACAGCTGGCCCAAGCCCGTGCCCTGCGGGAGGGAGCTCACATTCCCGGGGCTCGGGGAGGGAGCAGCTGCCACAGCCCAGTCACATTCCAGGTCGGTCATTTTCCTGAACCCAGATGTTTGCTAATGAGCTGGGGAGAGAGGGCTGAGAGCCTCTCCCCAGCTCGGGCCCCACATTACCTCGGCCCGAGAGGCTGGCCGTGGGCCAGCAGGCTCTGGCTTCAGGCCCGTGCCCTGTGCCAGCCAGGCCTGTCGGGGCAACTGGTGTGCTGCTGCCAACCAGGTGCATCTGTGAGCCGGAGACTCTAACGTGACAGGCTCTGCCCTTCCCGCTGGGGCCCACCACCCTGGGTCCTGGCGTGAGCGTCCCTGCTGCAGCCGGATGGGGATGGGCTCTGGTGCGGGGTGGCAAAGGAGCACTAGCTTTGGAGTTGATGGGTTTGGGTTCCAGACTAGGCTCTGTCAGTCACTAGCCATGTGATCTTGGGCAGGTAACTAAACTTTCTAATGCCTTGATTTTTCTCACCTGTAAAATGGGACTAATGATGGGATTACAGGAAGGATTTGCTAGGAGAAAACAGGTATAGTGCTTAGCATAATGCCTGGCACATAATGGTGGCTGTTGATACTATTGACAAGTCACTTCCCAGACCCCCTGCCCTCATTGGAGCCCTCCTGTAATTACCAGTCTTCACCAGACAGGTGTGACTCAACCCCAAAACCCATATCCTTGATTAGGCGGTTGGGATTGTTCTAGAACCTCCCTGTGTTGGAGAGAGCAGTGGCTGCACTGTCAAGGGCTTCTGCTCCCGGCTCTCGGTGAGATCTGACAAGCTCATTAGGCTACACAGTTAGCTTCTTGCGGTGCTGGAGTGGGGTCTTCAAATGTAGCCCTCCACTCCCCCGCCAGGGTCCACACCGGGAATGGTGGTGGTGAGCAGGATGGTGACCGTGTTCTCAGTGCCCACTGTGTACGTGCAGCAAGGCCAGCTTCTGTGGGTCATGGTCACCCAACTGGGAGTAGCTGACATCACCTCCTACTGTGTGACCTTAGGCCAGTTCCTTAAGCTCTCTCTAGGTCTTGTTTTTTCACTTATAAAATGGGGATAACAATACTGTTTATCTCATAGATGTACTGTGCGGGTGGAAAGGGCTTAGAATGGGACGAGGCCTATAGAGAGGTGCTCAGTATCTGCGTTGTTATGATCGTCATGACATTATCATCATGGAAACACTAATCTATGGGGGATAATGACGACTTCATTCAGCCAAACATACTGTACACCTTGTGTGGCCCCACCTTCAGCACTGGGGATGCTGAAATAACCCGGTTACGCCTGCCCTCGAGGAGCCGTGGTCTAGTGGAGGAGAGGGGTGTACACAACTGGTCCAGAGGGAAATTAGTGTCAAGAGAGGTACGTATCCGGAGCCCCAGGATCACACTGGAGGAGGGAGTTTATGCGACCTGAGGGTCTTGGGAAGGCTTTCCAATCTGGTGCTGGAAGAATGCCTTTATAGGGAGATGAAGGTGGGGAAGGGAACCCAAGCAGAAGGAACAGCATAAGCGAGTGCTAGGAGGCACAGAGATGCATGCTGGGCTTGGAGAGGACGCACAGACGGAGCATACCACCGACTTATCAGCAGGCCACTAGGAACCACCCAGGATGCTCAGCCACCTCCTGACATCAGATGAGCTGCGTCCATCTGGGAGCTTCCAGCCAGTTTGAGGCAAAATACGTGGACAACTATGACAGAAAACAAAATCTCCAAGTCCCACAGTTGGGTCCTGGGTTACTACTTTCCAGGAGTAAAGCTATTTTCTCACTCCACTGGGCACACAGAACAGAGGACACGATTGCAATGCACCCAGGTGCCCAGGAGCAGACTGATCAGTGGGTGCCCCCCCCCGGGTGAGGCTGGACGCTCAGCTCTTCCCAGGAGCCAGAGAAGTGAGTCCATTTTCTGGCGCTTTCCTTCCGAAGAGTCCTTCCTGGGCTCTCACACCCTTCTCTGGATGCTTACGCCAAGTGCTTGAGCTGAGGGGAGGCTGCGCGGAGGGCGAGCGACACAGGGTCCTGAGAGCACAGACCTGGCCGGGTCGCAAGCCCGGGAGCGGATGGGTTGGGCGCACCGCAGGCCTGCGGAGGGAGCACCAGTCTCCTGGTGTTGAGACTGGAGCGCCACACCCTCGGAGCAAGACTGCAATGCCCAGTTCCCGCAAAAAGGAACACCTCCATCTTTGTCACCCCGAGGTTTGGCAGGGCCTGACGGCCCAGTCTCGGAAAAAGTTAGGCGGAGAGAAGTCGGAGCGCAGAGAAAGGCGGCGGAGGGCGCTTTGGGACGAGCAGGGGCGCCAGGCTCTCCGCCCTGCCCCTAGGGCGGCCCGGCAGCCCCGCCGCGCCGTCGGTCCGCGCCGAAGCCCGCCCGAGGCTCGCAGGCGGGCGGGCGGTGAGCAGGGCCGGGGCCCCGGGCGGCCGAGGTGCCCCTCCTGCGCGCCCGCAGGGAGCGGCCGTGCGCGCCCGCCCGCCCTTTCTTTTGCGCGTCCCTCCCTCCGCTGCCCCCGCCCTCGCTCCCTATTTGGAGCGGAGACACCCCTGACGTCGGAGCCGCTCGGCTCGCCGCTCCCCCGCACCGCGCGCCCGCCCGGGGCCGCAGACGGCGCGCCGCGCAGCCCAGCCGAGCCTCGCGGGGCCGCCGCCAGCCCTGCCCGCCGCCTCCCCGAGCTCCCGGGGGCGCCGGGCCTGCCCCGCGGCCCGAGACAGCTCCGCAGGCACCGGCGCGCGCCGCGCTCCCCGCCGCCGCCACCGCCGCCGCGCGCGCGGTAAGTCCCACCCGGGCCGGCACGCGGGCGCCCCGCTTCCAGAGGCTTCGGCCGCAGGGGCCGCGCCCCCGGCCGCGAGCTTCGCCCCCGGCCCGTCCGGCGGCCCCGGGCACGGTGCAGAGGCGCCGCCGCCGAGTCCGGGAGCCCAGGGGGCCGGGCGGGTGCCGGGGCTGGGGACGTGGGCGCGGCACGGGGTGGCAGGGGGCACCACTGCGCCCTGAGCCTGTCCCCAGACCGGCCTGCGGTTTCCATTTCTTGGTAGGAGTTTCCGCGGCCGAGAGAGAAAGGAGCGAGATGCGTGGCCGAGCGCGAGCCGGGCGGGTCGAGGGCGGGTCGGGCCGCGCGGGCGCCGGGGCAGCGCCCGGAGCTCGGCCGCGGGGCTGCGCGTCCCCCGGCTCTGCCCCGGCCTCGCCGCGCGCCTCTGCACGCCGTCCGTCCCTGCCTCCTTTTTGTCTCTCGGTCTGCCTCTGTCTCCCGTCTGTCTGCCTCCGTCTCTCCGCGTCTGTCTCCGTCCCTCTCTTTCTCTGGCTCCTCCGGTCCCTTTCTTTCTGTTTCTCCCCTCCTGCCTCGGTTTTCGGCTTCCCCGGGTTTGTGGCTCTGCCTTTACGTTTTCTCTCCGTCTCTCCCTTCTGCCCCTCTGTGGGAGTCTCTCTCCTCTCCCTGATCCCCGACCCTCAAACCCGGACAGTCCCCCGGTGTCGGAGGCACGGGCCCCCAGTGGGGTTCGTGAATAGTTTCCTGGACCCGGTAAAGAAGCGAAGCCCTCCCCCTACCTTCCGCCTGCCCCCGGGGCCTGGCCTGGGTCATCTCCCTGGAATTGAGTCTGGGGCCCGGGGAGCCAGCCTTTCCGGGGGCTCAGTTTTCTTAAGAATTCCACCCCCGCAAGGCGGCCTGGACAACAGGGCCCCGCTGCCGGCCACCTGCCCGCCCCGCTCCCTGGGCGGGGCGAGTCTGATCTTTTACAAGCGCAGGGAAGGGGGCAGCTGCCTCTCCTGGCGAGGCCGGGGGGTTGGTGGGCATCAGGGGAGAGGGGCAGGTTTTCAGGCTTTCTGAGGCCCTCGGCCAGCTGGAGGACACCAGCCTGTAACTACGGGAACCCCGGGAAAACAGAGGTCAGGGCCAGAGGCCAAAGGCTGGGCGCTGGCCGGGCGATGGGGGTGGGGAAGCAATTTGTCAACAAGAAGCCCCTCGCCCTTTGTTACTGTGGAAACCACCAGCCTCCTGGAACTCCCCCAGATGCTGGGGCTGCTTGGGTGTCGTTTGCCTTTAGTTGGGGCCAAAGAAAAGGCAAGCCTGGAGCATTTCCTTGGTGACCCCCCCCCTCCCCTCCCCCCCCCTTGCAAGTTGGACCTCTTTCTCCTGGGCCTGTGGGCTTGGAGGGGTGGACGGGAAATAGTGCTCTGCGTTAGCAGCGAATATAACCTCATTCTTTTAAAGTGAAATTTCAGACTGAGTTTAGCTCCATCCCCCCCCTCCCCCCAACCCCAAGGGTCTGAGGCTGCTGGAGTGGGCAGCGATGCTGGTGAGGTCTGCACTGGGACTTCTGCTGAGCAGATGTGTAGGCCAGCCCTGCAGCAGCTCATTAGCATAGATTTGTTTTGGAGACAGCTCTTGGTCTGCGGGCAGGAGGGTCTGTGGATAGGAGGGCCCAGGCCTGGGCCGGGGGCTGTCGCCAGGAAGGTGGAGCTGCCTGGCAGAGGCAGGCAGGCCTTCTGGGCATGGGCTTGGCCCTGCGTGTCCGCTCCCTGGACAGTTGGTTCATGCTCTGCCAGTGCTGACGGAAGGAAGGAAGCCACCCTGCGGTGAGACTGGGGTCATGGAATCACAGGGGCCTGGAGCAACACGCTGGAGCCAGCCTCCCCTTGAGGGAATCTGCTAAAACCGACATTCCCAGGCCACACTCCCCATGACAGGGGGCAAACGTGAGGCCAAGGTGGGTGAGGCAAGTGGTCAGTGGCTGGGTCTGTGACCATTAGACTGTCCTGCCTCCAGGCACACAGAGAGTCAGTGGGTGAGTCTGGGCCTCAGCTTGTCCTCAGACCCCAGAGCCAGCCTGGGAGGCCCTGCTGAGCGGACCAAGGCTGGGGTCTGACACTGCCTTATCAGTTGCACCATTCAAGGAGGTCCTTGCACTCATTTGAAGGCCTGTGGCAGTGGCCCCTCCCTTGCTGATCCCCAAGCCTAGGGCTGCCGCCACCAACACCACACCCTCTGTGCCTGGCCTGCACAGCCTGGCAGCCAGGCTGAGCCTGTTTTCTCCAAGTTGGATTCCAGAGGGGGCTGGTCTTTCCGCGACCCTGTCCCTTCAGTCAGTGGCCTGAGGATTAGAGTCTGAGCGGGCTCTTCCTCTCAGCTCCCACCCTGGCACGCGAGCCTGTTGGACAGCACTCAACAGTTTGTAAAACCCTTTCCCAGCCATCATCTCATTTGCTTGCATTTCCCCTCAGATTCACCCTAAATCCAGTTTCATGGGGGCAGATGTGACCCTGGATTTAGATCTCCTCAGGACCCACCCAGGACCCGGTGGGAGGGGGTGGGGGGCAGAGGGGGTAACGGGGCACGTGGGAGGCAGAAGGGCGTGGGCAGAGTTCAGGGAGGGTGAGTGGCCCAGGGTGAGTCCAGGCCAGCGCTCCTGGTGACGTCTCCCAAGGCCTCATCTCGTGACAGGCGCCCTGTCCAGAGGTTTCCATGCACGTCTTCAGTTTAATTCTCACAGCTGCCCTGTGAGATGGGTCTCACTGCTGTTTCCATTTGGCAGATGAGGAAACTGAGGCACAGGAAGGTTAAAGTGGCTGAGCTGGGATTTGAACCCATGTCTGTCAGTCCGTTGTGGAGAATGGAGGAGACCCAGACCCTGCCCTTTGTGTGTGTGTGTGTGTGTGTGTGTGTGTGTGTGTGAGTGAGAGAGAGAGAGAGAGAGAGAGAGAGAAAGCTAAGCTGGAGGTATACTGGCCTTAAGTGACCCTGAATATTCAGATTTACCCAGAAGAGGAAATGGGGAGCAATTGTTCACTTGTTATACAAAATCGACTCTGCTCTACAAAGGGTTTCACAGTGGGTGGGACCGGCTGGAGGTCTTCCTTGAAATCTAGGCCCCTCTGGTGAATTTAAGACCTGGTTCTAGGCACTAGAATCCAGGCATTGGGGTGGGTGGCCCCTGTCAGCACTGCTGTTATGGGGACCCTTCTCTGGGGACTTGGGGGTCCATAGTGACCTGGCTGGACCTCAGAATCCTGTGAGAGCCTGTACATACCTGTGAGAGCCCAGGACACACCCCAGACCTGTGGGGTGAGAATATCCAGGGCTGGGGCCCGGGCATCTGAGTTTTCAGTGCATCTCAGGGAAGAAGCTGGGTTCTGGTAGATGTGGAAATGTAGGGAGCACCCCAAAGGCCGGAGCCCGAAGCCTGCGTTCTTGCTCCCCACCCCCTGCCCTTCCTGAGGCAGGTCTCCTGTGTTTGTTTTTTGCCCTCTTCCCTGATGTGGAGATGGGGGCGTGGGGCCCTTCCTTGATCTGTGCCTCAGTTTCCATCGTGCTTGGATGGGTCAGCCAGGGTTCCGCCCCGGGCAACTTCCTTTCTGTGTCATTGGCAGCCTGGCAGCCTCAGAACGTGTCAGATGTGCCCGAGGTCACTGAGGGTCTGGAGAGGGTGGATTTGGGAGTGGGCGGTGAGGTGGGTGGTAGGAAGCCCCCCCCCCCCCCGGACCAGGCCGCCCTCGTTGAAGCCTGGCCGCTCCTCTGAGGAAGGGCAGCTGGGTCCCTGCCTGGCCCCGGGGACAGGGATCTGTTGTGGCCACGCGCTCATCTCCAGGGCATTGATGGGGCGATCTGAATTCTGCTCCGAGGGGCTCCCAAGCTTCCAGCCCCGGTGGTGGCTGCTGCCGAGGGCTCCTCCGGGTGAGAGGCCCTGCCCGCTGGTGGGGGCCCCGGGCCTCCTGGCCACCCTGGCCCCTCCCCGGCCCCTTCTCTTCCTCCCGCTCTTGCTTCCTCGTCTGTGAATGATCTGCAGAGGTAGCTGGTCCCCCTGTGACTGTGCAATTCAAATCTTGGTTCCATTTACTAACGTGTAAGCTCAAGTGAATCTCTTAACCTCTCCGGGCCTCAGTTTCCTCCTCTATAAAATGGGGAAAGAATCCCTCTGTCGTGGGGCAGTTGTAAGGACTGAATAAATGAATAGAGGCAAAGCCCTCAGCCCAGGGCGCAGGCCAGCTCTGACGACCGCGGCCCGGGAGAGGTGTGCTGGACCCACGGCGAGGGATGCGCTCTCCATGCCTCGGCCCCTGCAGGTCCCTCAGCCAGGAGCCCTTCCAGTCCCCACCACCGGGGCCTGATGGTGATCCCGGATTAAACCCACAGTGAGGCGTCTCTCCCCACTGCCCCCACAGCTGTCTCTGACCGCCCCTGCTCTGAGCCACTGCTTCCTCTTAACCCCCCTCCCTCAACCTCCCCCTCTGGGCTCCGGGCTCTCGGGTGGGCGTAGGGTCCAGGACCCCAGCTCCCCTGCCCTTCCCCTCGTCTCCGTCTCCTGCCTCCTGGAAGGTGTTCAGTACACAAGTGTTGAACTGCATGACCCAGGACAAGGGCTTGCCGGGGGGCCCTGGGACAACGCCTCTGCAAAGCAAGGGGGATCCCCCTCTTCCCTCCCGCTGGCGTTCTGGGAGCCCCCTGACTTGCTGTGTGACCTTCGGGGCAGGGAGGAAGGATGAGAATCCGCGGGTGACGCTCTGGAGTCTCAGGAAGGAAGGTCTGACTGCTGTGTAAAAAAACTTAGCTGCGTTGTTGCTTGGAAAAACAAAAAAGCATAAAGCAACAAAAATAAAGCCGCTGGCCAAAAGCCCACCCCAGTGCGAAGGCGGGCAGCGGGGGTTTGTGGGGGCAGGAGGGCAGCCGATGTGTCCTGATGGCAAAGGCGTGTGGAGGGACGAGCCTGGCGTCCTCCGGGCCCCAGCTTCGGCTCAGAGGGCTGCCCCGCCTCCCATGAGCCCCCGGGGGAGGACTGGCCTCAGCTGGGTGTCTGCTGGGTGCCTTCAGCGCATCCTCCCAGTCGTTCTCCAAGGACAGGGCCGTGCTCCCTGTTTTGGGGGTGAGGCAGGTGGGTGCGGAGAGGTGAAATTTCCAGAAGTCACACAGCTCCTGGGTGGGGGGGCTGGCACTTGATGTGGGAGATTCCGGGGGCCCTGCTTCTGCTGGAGCTCAGGGCTGCTGGCCTGGGGAGCCGAGTGTGGCCCCACCCTCTCCCCTGAGTCCCAGCTGGGCCTGGTGGGTGGGGTTACAGGGCCCCCTCGGTGGGCACAGCTGGCCCTTAGGATTAACTCTCAGCTGTGTACTAGCGAGGGAGGAAGATGAAGGGGGGAGTGGCCTTCTGCCTCGGTTTATCTCCTTTCTCCTCAGCTTCTGTTACAATGCGACCTTAATAACCACTCCCCATCCTCCAGCCCAGTGACTCCCTTAAGACACTCACTGTTATCCCGTCTCCCAATAAACCTCGTTATTAACCAGCCCCGGTCTCCACTCTGCTCCCCCCGAGCCTGGTTCTGGTCCATAGACTCCGTTCTAACCTCTCCCGATTCCAGCTCCAGGTCAGAGCCGGTGTCCCTCTCCGGGCTGCTTCTGTTACAGCCCCAACCTCAATTTCAAGTCCTCAGGGGACCTGAACATCATGCCCTGCCCAGTCACCTCCCTGGCCCCCCAGGCCTGACCTTCCGAGGAACCGTGATGGGGTCAGGTATAGGACGTGTTCCTCTGGCCTCAGGAGGGCCTCTGGCTGCCGTGGTCAGACGCTGACTCGGAGGCCGGCTCCCTTGGGGTGAGGAAGCCTCCCGGATGCTAAGCGTGTTGAAAAATTAGGTTGCCGCTTAGGAACAAGTCCGTTCTATTTTGTGAGGATGTGGTTGTACTGAAAACACGGGCTTTGCTGTCAGTGTTGTGAGCGAGACCGGAAGTGTGTGGGTGCGAGCCTGGGTTGTGACACAGACTCACTTGGGATGGGGGCCGGCTGTCTGGACTCGCCACCTCCTGCCCTGCCCACTCCCCCCCACCCCACGCTGGGCTGGGAGCAGGGATCATGCAGGTGTTGGGATCCAGGGAGATGGGAGGCCTCCTGCAGGGCGAAGGGGCAGGGGCTGAGGGGACTCGTGGACCGACAGAGAGCACAGGGCTGTGGAGGTGGTCACAGCCCTGCAGGCTGGCCGGCGCCCTCCTGCAAGCCCAGCTGAGCCAGCCCCCCTCGGTTTTCACTGCAGGAACCGGCAAGACCCCCCTCAACATCTCTTCTCCCCAGACACTTGACAGAGTACCTTCAGAAAGTGGGCTGAGGGTGGGGTGTTCTGAATGGGGTGCCCAGCCCTGAGCCAACTCGACTGTAATGCTGGGCATCTGTGGGACCGGTGGGATAGTCCCTCGCCCTGCTCCTGATTTAGCCCCACCCAGGCCCCTCTGGGGACTGTCCCAAGACACAGAATCCCAGACTGACTGAGCTGGACCAGGTCAGCATGTGTGGACTCCTGACTCGCAGACCAGCACCCCTTCCCCAGGGCCCTGTCCCCAAAGGACTCTCGCATGGGCATTGCCTTCATCTCCGAATCTCTCCTAGGCCTTAATCCTCCATGCCTTTTGACTGGGGACCAGGGGAGTGGGGCGGGGAGTCTGTGAACCCTACAGAACGTAAAGTTGGGGGGACACTGGGAGAGTCCCCTCTGAGCAGAATCGTCCGACACTCACTCTGCCCTGCAGTGCCATCTTCTGGCAAATTCTGGTATTGCCTCAGTGTCTTGCTCCAGCCAATTTCCAGAGGGTCCAGTGCTCAGCTTGGCTTGTCTGCTGCTTGACTCAGAGGTTAGGATGGAGCTGGATATAACGATGTGTATGTAGACTTAGGACTCGACGCTTTGGTGGGGCATCCAAAAAAGAAATACAGTCTGGTTTGGGGTTAGTTTTCTTGCCTGAGGTCCAGCCAGCCAAGGTAGCATAAGAATTTATGGTGACCTGGATTTGGAGGCTAGCTTCCTGACATCAGAATGCTGACAACTGTGGCAGCATGTCCAGGAGATGGCTGGATGGCCAGCCCCTCGAGGACAGGCCTGGGGTGGGCATTGTTTTTGTGTTTCCTGGAGGATCCATGACGTCAAAGTGAGGAGGGAGCTAATAATTGTTCAGCCCTCAGCTGTGCTTGGAAACTGTGTCATCTTCAGTAATTGCTGCCCTCCTTTGCCATCTGCACTGTTACCATCCCTGTTTTTTAGGTGAAGAGATAAAAAGTAACTTACTCAAAGCTACACAGTAAACTATAAAAAGAACTAACACATACGGAGTGTTTATTCTCTGCTGGCCTCTCTGCTGAGGGCTTTCCATGGAACATTCATCTTTGTGATACCCACCTGCTGCACATACTATCAGCAGCCCCATTTTGGAGGTTCCTAAAGGAGAAACAACTCGTCCAAGGCTGTGCCAGGCTCGTAAGTGGTAGAGCTGAGATTTGAACCCGGGCAGTCAGGTGTCAGAGTCCATGCTTGTAACACCACCGCCCCCACTGCCCACCGGCTTGGGCGCGGTTGGCCTTACCTCCAGTCTGTGCTCTGTTCTAGGGCTCTAAAGGCCACGGGCACAATGCTCTGGGTCCTGGTGGGAGCCGTCCTCCCTGCCATGCTGCTGGCCGCTCCACCGCCCATCAACAAGCTGGCCCTGTTCCCGGACAAGAGTGCCTGGTGCGAGGCCAAAAACATCACCCAGATCGTGGGCCACAGCGGTTGTGAGGCCAAGTCCATCCAGAACAGGTGGGATCCGGGGGCTGGGTGAGGGGGGTGAAGACAGGGGCCCGGGAGGGAGGAAGAGGACAGCACTGCCCATCCCTGCCTCTACCACAGTGACACGGCACGTGACCTCTCCTCCCACAGGGCGTGCCTGGGACAGTGCTTCAGCTACAGCGTCCCCAACACCTTCCCGCAGTCGACGGAGTCCCTGGTGCACTGTGACTCCTGCATGCCGGCCCAGTCCATGTGGGAGATCGTGAGTACCACTGTCCTACCTGCCCAGCCTCCGCCCAGAGCCTGCACTGCCCTTGGCCACAGTGCAGAGTCCGAGGCTTGTGCTGGGCATACAGATGTGGTCCTTGCCACGTGATGGCTCATGAGTCTGACACCAACATGTACTGGACGAGAGATCTCTCTGAAACCCCATTCTGATGTCAGTCACATGCTGAAATCCTTTCAGTGGCTTCCCATTGTTATAGGATGAGACCAGAATCTTTGCCAGGCCCCACGAGACCCAGTGTGGCCTGGCTCACCAGTCATTTAGCTTCATCTTGCTTCTCTCACTTGTTTACTAGATTGACACTTGACGCTAATTCACCTCCTTTCAGTTTCTCATACCTACTCTGCTTGCCGCCACCACAGGGCCTTTGCGCATGCTCTTGTCCTTGTCTGGAATATGTTTCTCCTCCTCCTCAGCTAGTTAACTTCTGTTCTTCCTGCTCTTGGCTTGAGCATCATTTTCTCAGGGCCCCCTTCCTGACCCCCTGAGTACTATGTGCCTCTGCCTTGAGCATTTGTCACACCCACAGTTTTCCGTCTGCATTTGGGTGATTTTGGCAAGTCTTTTTCCTCCATGAGACTCTCAGTTCCTTGAGGGACCATGCCTGTCCTTGTGTCTCCAGAGCTGGCCTGGAGTAGGTGCTCTGTGGAAGGAAGGAGAGAAAGAAAAGGAAGGAAGGGCAACCAGAAGTGTGACAATAGGAGAAGAGCAAGATGCTGAAGGGGCTCACACGGGGCAAACCTCAGCTGGGCGGGGGGTTGGGAGGGGGATCTTTGTGGAAGTGATGTCTGGACTCAGATCCAGAGGTTGAGTAGAAGTTAATGGGCAAAGCTGAGGACAGGTGGTAGGGGATGGGTCGGGCGAGGACCTTCCAGGCAGAGGGAACAGCATGTGCCAAGTCTCAGGCACATCAGGCAGCACAGAGTTGGCAGGAGTGGTGCCGGGTGAGGGGTGGAGAGGTCCGCCAGGGGCAGCCTGAAGGTCCTGGGTGGCCTTAGTGAGGAGTCAGGATTTTTCTCCAAGTGCAGTGGGAGCGTCGAGGGGGATTTTAAGCAGGGGCAGGCCACAGCGGGTCTCTTCCCTCAGGGTGCCCTCTGGCTGCTGTGAGGGAATGGATAGGAAGGTGGCAGAAGTGGATGCGAGTGGACAAGTCAGGTGGCTCCTGCAGGGCCTCAAGCCCCCTCCCCCTGGATGGGCCCACAGACCTAACTGGGGTATCGTAGGGCCCAGGATTCGGGGCTCTCTCGGATTCCTGGTCCCATGAGGTGTGGTACCCTGGGGGCCTCCCTGCCTGCCCCAGGCCTTTGGGAACATCTCTCCCTTCTCTCCTGCCCTCTCCAGGTGACCTTGGAGTGCCCCGGCCACGAGGAGGTGCCCAGGGTGGACAAGCTGGTGGAGAAGATTCTGCACTGCAGCTGCCAGGCGTGCGGCAAGGAGCCCAGCCACGAGGGGCTGAGTGTCTACGTTCAGGGCGAGGACGCGCCGGGCCCCCCGCCGGGCGCCCACCCCCACCCCCACCCTCACTCCCACCCCGGCGGGCAGACCCCTGAGCCCGAGGATCCCCCCGGGGCCCCCCACGCCGAGGAAGAGGGGGCTGAGGACTGAGGCCCCAGCTCGTCCTCCCCTCTGGCCCCTGTGGAATGTGGGGTCTCACCCTCCGGGGGAGGAGTCGGGGAGAGGCTGAAGCCCCCCGCTGGCGCTGGATGGACTTGGACTCAGACTCGGACTTGGAATGCTTTCCGGTTGCCATGGAGATCTGCAGGGAGGGGCTGGAGCAAGCTGCACAATTTAATATATTCACGAGTGGGGGAGGAAGCAGAGGTCTTCAGGGTTCTTTCTCCAAGGGGAGTCTCTTCATGTCTGCCTCCTAGAGATGCGCCCTTGGGAGGGGGAGGAAGTTGGCTAAGCTGCTGGGGGGGGGGAGGGTGAGGCCATCCAAGATGGTGGGAGCTGGGCCAAGGCCCACACAGCCCCTGGTGGGGCAGGGCCCCTGGGGGTGCAGATGGTGGCCCTGGGGCCTGAGCTGAGAGTGGGCACCTGGCCAGCAGCAGCCCTGAGGGAGGGGCTGGGTCCTGGCTAGGAAGACCATGGCAGAAGCAGGAAGCTCTAGCCCTGCAGGCTTCCCTAAGGGCCTCCCGTCCCTAGGGTGGCTTCTCCCCATTGGCACCGCGGTGGCCCTCCCCTCGCTGGCGGGGTTGGGAGTCAGGCCTGGGCAGGACCCTGCTGACTCATGGCCCTGGGGCCGGGAGCCAGGCTCTCTGGGCCTATCTGGTTCCTTGGCTTTCCAGGGGGTGGAGGGAGGCAAGGGAGGAACTTTCCTGGACCAGGGGGAGGGGATGACTCCCGAGACCATCACCGAAGAAGAGCATCGGTCCCCACTTCCTCCCTGAGATCTTAGTGCCTCCCACTGCCCCCCAAGCTCTAGGCCCCTCAGAAAGCTGACGGAGCCAGCCTTACCCTCCTGGGGAGCTCTCTCTAAATATCTGACAGTGGGGAGGTTCCAAGACCCAGAGGTTCCAAGGAGAGACCTGGTGGGATGGACTCTGGCTGAGCCCCAAGAAACGAGGAGGAAGTGAGGGGCGAGGGCTCACGTGGGCAGCCAGTGTCCCACCCCCCACCTCCCTCCCAGCTGCACTTTAACCCTCGAGGAGGGGTGGGGGCCAGGGGGCGGGAAGGGCAGGCAGGCAGTGAGGAACTCCCCTCCATGCCCAGCTCTGCCTGCCAGCCCTGCCTGCCCCCTGCCTGGGGGTGCCCGGCCGGCGGCAGTTCCGACGAGAGCTTCTGGAGCTTGTAACCAGTAGATTGTCTCCTGACGGACCCGAGTTTTCTCATGAATAAATTCGTTCAATGCCTATGTCCTCTTCCTCACTGGCTGGCTCTGCTGGCCCAGGGTTCCCCGGGGATCCCCAGCAGCGAGGCCCAGGGGCAGGCGGTCAGCTGCCCAGTGCGCTGTGTGAGCCCCTCCCTGCTCCCTGGTGGCCCCCTCACCTTCCTGTGATGTGCACCCTGGCTCCCAGCTCCTACCTCTTTCTTGAGTGCCCATTTCTGGCCTCTGGTGGGCCTCCAGAACTGGGCTTTTCGGACTTTGACCCTTGGTCCCTTGAGCTTGCCTCATGCCATCTGTTTTCACCCCCACCGTGACCCAGCATCAGCCCTTCCCTGGCCCAGGACAAGGGGAAACGGACAAAACCAGTGGTTACAGATTAATACACAGGGTGGGTGCTGTGCTGAGGACTTGACATAAATTAACTCGCTAATCCTCACCGCCGCCCTATGAGGCAGAAACTGCCCTCATTTTGCAGATGCTGCATCTGCGTGCAGAGGGATTAAGTCCTTCGCCCAGGGTCATAGTTAAGAAATGTCACCGACAGGATTGGTCACCAGACCAGGCAGGCTGGCCTGATGGCTCTGCTCTCAGCCTTAGCAGTTGCCATTTGTTAATCACCTGCTGTGTGCGGGGCTGGGGGCTGGACACCTCTGGAGTCCTCTCCTCACGGTGACCCCCCAAGTTTGGTATCATTACCCCTGTCCAGTTGAGCTTGGGTCCCCCCACAATCCACTGAGACAGGAGAGCTGGTGGTGTGGCTGAGGGCTGCGACTCCCATTATTCCTCGTACACATTGCAGGCAATTACCACCACATACCAGGCAATTTACAGATGTTATTTCTATTCCATGGGAGATGCTCATTTTGCAAATGAGAAAACAGGGCCTTCCTGCCGGGAAGCAGCGGCCCCGGGAGTCTGATGTCGCGCCCTCTGGTGACGGCGGTTGGGTACTACATCCGATTCCCTCAGGATACCCAAGCCTTCCCTTCACGGCTGCTCTGCACTATTGGGCCGGTTGTGTACTTCCCAACGCCAGACTGGGACTTCTTGCCGCTGTGCAAGACACAACTTGCATGGCCCTCCATGGTGGCGCTGCGTCCCTTGACGTGGAATTGGGTCGGAGAGAAGTCTGTCTCCTGCCTGCAGGCTTCAGTGATCCCTCAGTCTTGTAGGGACAAGCCCTGGCCGTATTAATAGTCTTCCTAAAGGGCTGGAGGTAAAGACTGACTCAAGGGCATAGAGAAAGTGCTTCTGACGACTCAGCGACCAGGTCCAAATGAAGACCCTTGTGGGGTGGTGTCCTTGGTGCTGGGCCTCTGAGACCTGAGAACTGTCTAGCAGGATGCGTCTTGGTCAGGAGCTACCTTCGTCCTGTGCTGGAACAAGGCAGGGTGTAAATTCATAGACACGTAAAGAAATTAATAAAAGGCTCGTTGGAAAGAAAGCAGGAAGGTGGTCTGGCGCAGCTGGTGGCAGGCCTAGAATGCGAGCCAGATTTCAGACTTCCTTCTCTTTGCAGTAAGCGCCCTGGAAGTGTTTGTGCAGAGCTGAGGTTCAGCGAGACTAAAAGAAGTCTCATGGGAGGAGGAGGGGGAGGCTGGAGACCAGCTGGAAACTGCAATAGTCCAGGCAGGAGATGATGGAGGCCAGAGCCGGGCAGGGGCACAGTCTGGGGAGGCGGGGCCAAGCGGAAGAGACGCTGCTGATTGGATGTGGGAGGAGCGAGTGGGAGGAGCCAGAGTTGAAGGACTGGAGAAGCATCGCTAGCCTTGCCAGCTTGCCAGTGGGAGGGAGATGTGGGGTAATGAGTGCCAATTCTTCTCTTCGCTAACCTCAAACTGAACGGCCAAGACAGGCAGAAAAAAAAATTGCGGCCCCCCCCTCCGCCATTCCACCCCACTGCCGCAAGGGTGGAGGGATTTATAATCTTAAGAGATTAACACTGACACGCAGCGCTGTCACCGCGGGCCCCTCTCCCGAAGGGCGGGTAATTAGTACCGGCTTCCGCGCCTTGTTCGCTGTATGGAGCCAACAACTCCCAACCACATTTCTTCCCCTGCTCCAAACCTCTGGGAAAATCCAGTCGGCCCGGATTCAAATCGTGGCTGGACCACTTCCTAGCTGTGTAATCTTGAGCAAGTCACTTTAAGATCTCTGAGGCTCAGTTTTCTGATCAGTCCCATGAGGAATAAAGACTCCACCTTCCTCCCTCTGGGGGTCGTGGTGAGCTTTACATAAATCAGTGTACAAATAGAGCTTGGAACGGTGCCTGGCAGATGGTAGGATCTCAGTGAATGTCAGCCATGATTATGATTATTGAGAACGAATGGCCCACAGCTGCTGGTGGTTGACCTGATGGTTTTGTTCTCTCATTCGTTGAACGTATATTTATTGACAGCCTGATGTGTGCTGAGGATATGACAGTGAACGAAACGACAAACCCCTGCCGTCACGAATTTAACCAGTGGGTCAATGCCTTCAAAGAGAAGCTCTGGGCAGGCCTCACGACCTCCCTGGACCTTGGTTTCTCCATCTCTGCAATGAGGAGCTCTCCGTGGTCCTCTAGGGACTGACAGCAATGGAGGTCTGGGGCAGAGGACTTCCTAAGACTCAGCTGTCCCGTTGTGGCACCAGCCTTCTCCTCTAGGGAGAGAGCACCCCGTGGCTAGAAGTAATCAAGTAAAGGCTAAGCATCCTTGAAGGTCCCTCTCTCCTCTGAAATGTTAAGGCACTGTAAGGCTTTACTATTACAGGATGGAAATGATAAACTTAGAAACACACACATGGAATTTCTGAAAAGTTCTTAAATTCAAGAGAATAACAAGGGAACCACAAGGTGGCCCCACCACTCAGGCCCAATCTTGAAAAAATTATTATTTTTGTTATATATGTCATCATATAACAAACATCTGTGAATCTATTGCCCAGAATGAACAAATATTAACATTTCTGTCATATTTTCTTTAGATATTTTAAGAAACAAAGTATATCAAACATTACAGCAAAAGGTAAAGCAGAGGGACTAATGTTCTATCCAAGTATGTGCTACTAGTTTTTACAAAGCGAAAATTTAGCTAGAACCTTCTCTGCATAAAATGGTTCAAATGCTCATTCTGTTCGCACCTCCACTCCCCCAATTTCATCGTAGCAGGGAATTTAAGAGGCTTTGCCAGATTCACAGAGCGAGTAGCAGAGTTGGGATTATGAACCCAGGTCCCTGGCCTCCAAAGTCTGGTCCACACGGCACCTCTTGGGTTTGCTGTTGTTCACGTCAGGAATCGCTGGGCTGAAGGAGTTACAGCAGATCTGAATGCCTTCCCCTTGTACAGATGGGAACGCTGAGGCCAAAAGCTAGCACGGACACAGCACCATGACGTTTACAGATTACACCAGTGTCATTTCACCCCATACACACCCTGTGAGGTGGGTGCTATCAGTCTGCTAACTATTGCGGAGGAGAAAACGGTGGCCTAAGGAGACGTGGCCACTGGCCCCAAGTCCACAGAGTTGGTGAGCAGCAGAAATGGGCCCCCAGGTCTGATCTTATGACTTCCAGCCCAGCGCTTGGTACACCGCATCCTGTTCCTTGGGGCACAGCAGAAATGGTCACAGTGGTGTAGGTAGTGTTGGGAGGGGGGACAGGCTGCACAGACCCATCTGTGGGCCACATTGGGGCTCCGAGTGCCAGAGAGCGGTTTGGGGTGGGTAAGGGGTGCTGCAGCGTCTTGAGGGTTCTCTGCGTTGGGTGTTGGGCAGACCCGGGTTTCAGTTCCTCTTGATCACTTGCTGCTGGGGACCTTGGGTATGGCCCTTGGCCTCTCTGAGCCCCAGTTCAAACCTACCTCTTGGCATTATTGTAGAGGTAGGAATAATATAAGAAAGCCCCCGGCATTTAGCGGGAACCTTTCAGTGGGAGGCACTACTTTTCTGTTTCTGTGGAGGGAAAAAGACCCCCCCTTCCCTTCATATTGTTCTACATTTCTTTTTTTTCTGTAGCAATTATCACTTTACGACTGAGCATTTATTATGTGTGTGGTTTATTGTCTGTCTCCTTCCTCTAAGATGTAAATCCATCAAGCGGGATCTTTGTTTTGGTTACCGTAGTGCCCCAATTGGTCAGGATAGCGTCTGACACCTAGTGGGGACTCAGTAAATGTTTGTTGAATGAATGAATGGAATCCACAATATTAATCTATGAGGGGTCCGGTGCAGACTCTTCTTAGCCAGGGGCACAGAGACACAGCAGGGTCACACTCAGGGGGTGCCACACCCCACCTCTCGACCTGCCGTGACTCCACCCCACTGCCCCAGGGGATTCCCAAATGTGTCCACACTCGTTGTTAGAACGGGTGGGAAGTGCCAATAGGCCAGGGACTCCATCCTTAGTGCTGGCACTGTCGGGGAAACCGATGGTTTCTGCTCCAAAGACCCTGAGGAGGAGGTGACCTGCTGTTTAAAGGTTTGAAGGAATTATTATATAGGTCATTATATATCACATATAATAATATGTATCTGTATATATGTGCGTGCAAACATATGGGTGTTAAGCCATCTGCCCGATACTTCCCCACGGGCTCCCCTTCGTAGCGCGGTGACCCCGCTGCGGGTGGCAGCCCGCCTCGGAGGCGAGTCCTGGATAAGGGCGGCCCACGGCCCCTGCTCTGAGTCTCTCCTGCGCCGCCGCCACGTGTGGGTTGGGGAGGGGGATGCAGGGTGTGGAGGCTGCCCCAGCTGGGGAGGCGACCTGGCGCAGCCGGAGCACTCGGATTGTCCCTCCACAGGCCTGGGTTACCGGGGACGCCGCCGCCTGCGAGGCCGGGGCTGGGCTCTCTCCGCCCACCGCGGGGCGGGGCGCAGGCTCCGTGGCGCGGGGACCGTGCGCTCCTGGAAGCGCCCAGCGGCTCCTCCGCGCACCCCGGCCCATCACGGCGCCTCCGCCGCCGCCCCCTCCTCTCCTAGCCCCGCGGCGCCTGCCGCAGTCGCCCGTGGCGGAGCAGCGCCGAGCGCCCCAGGTACCGAGTGCGGGCGGGAACGGGGCCGGTGACCGGGCAGCCGGGTGGGGAGGGCGCGGAGGCGCGGCCGCTGCTCCTCCTCTCCCCGCGGGCTGGCCCGCCCCGCGCCCCCCGAACGCCGCAGGGGACCGTGTCCGCCCAAGCTCGGGGGTGCCTCAGCGTCGGCTCTGAGACTTGCCTTCCCCGCCGAGGGCTTGGCTTTGGCCCGTGGGCCCCCTCCTGCGACCCCAAGAACTAGGGCTCCCGACCTGGAGCCTCCCTACGCCCACCTGCCGCGGGGGAGCTTGCCACCGGCCTGAGAGCGCCCATTCGCCCCCTGCTCCCCCTCCCCGGGTCCCCGCCCCAGGCAGACGCCCCTGCCCCCACCTTACTGCCCACCGCTTCTAGGGGTTTCTGCTCGCACCCATCCAACCTCCAAGAGTCCTCTGGCCTCCCCATCCTCCTGACTTTCCGCCCGCTCCCTCTAGGGGACTCTGCTTCTCATCAGGTGCCCCCTCCCAAACTTCCTACTCGTTTCTCCCTGCCTGACATCCGAAGACACCCGTATAACCCCTCTCCATCCTCCTCGGGTCGCTGTCCTTTGATCTGGCGCCCCGTCCCTATGTTCCCACCTGTCCCCTGGGGGGTCTGTTCTCACCGACGACGCCCTTCCAGCCCCTCCTCCTCCAGGTCCCTCACCCTGTCTTCCTGCCAGTCCTCGGGCCCCCTCTCGGGCCCCAAGTCTTCGCCCTCCATCCCCTGCCCCCATGGTTCCAGATCCAGGCCCTGCCAACAACAGCACCCTAGACTGGGGGGCAGGGCCACCGTCGGACCCGGAGGGCAGCGGCTGGGTGGCGGCCGCGCTGTGTGTGGTCATCGCGCTGACTGCTGCAGCCAACTCGCTGCTCATCGCGCTCATCTGCACGCAGCCGGCGCTGCGCAACACGTCCAACTTCTTCCTGGTGTCGCTCTTCACCTCGGACCTGATGGTGGGGCTGGTGGTGATGCCGCCGGCCATGCTGAACGCGCTGTACGGGCGCTGGGTGCTGGCGCGCAGCCTCTGCCTGCTCTGGGCCGCCTTCGACGTGATGTGCTGCAGCGCCTCCATCCTCAACCTCTGCCTCATCAGCCTGGACCGCTACCTGCTCATCCTCTCTCCGCTGCGCTACAAGCTGCGCATGACGCCCCCGCGCGCCCTGGCGCTGGTCCTGGGCGCCTGGAGCCTCGCCGCGCTCGCCTCCTTCCTGCCCCTGCTGCTGGGCTGGCACGAGCTGGGCCGCGCGCGGGCACCCGCCCCGGGCCAGTGCCGCCTGCTGGCCAGCCTGCCCTTCGTCCTCGTGGCGTCGGGCCTCACCTTCTTCCTGCCCTCCGGGGCCATCTGCTTCACCTACAGCAGGATCCTGCTGGCCGCCCGAAAGCAGGCTGTGCAGGTGGCCTCCCTCCCTACCGGCATGGCCGGCCAGGCCTTGGAGACGCTGCAGGTACCCCGGGTGTGCAGGGAGACCTGGGCTTGTGGGATGGAGAGCAATGAGCAGCCATTGGGTGCCTGCTGGGCACCCATCACTTAATAGGTATAAACTTTCTGGCGACCTCCTAGTGGCCATTTCCTGTTCCCGCCTTTCTTTTTGACTTAAAGCCTGACTGTCCATGGGACAGCTCCATCAGGATGCGAGGCAGGCTTCTCGAAGCCAACATGTGCAACAGGGTATTCTGAGTGTCCCAACTCTCCCCACTTGCTCCCTCCTGATCTTCCCCATCATTGCAAATGGCACTATCTGGGTCACACACCGGAAACTTAGGAATAACTTTTCTTCCTCATGTTCACCCAATTCATTAGTGAGAGCTGTTGGCGCTGCCTCCTAAACCTGTGCCCTCTCCAATGCCACCTTCCTAACCCAAGCCACCATCGCTTCTTATCTGGGAGCCTTTGATAGTCTCCTGCTGGCTTCCACGCCAAACACATTCCTAACCATTTTCTGCACAGCAGCCAGAGCAATAAAAAAAAGAAGTGATCCTGGTACTCCCTTGCTTCAAACACTTCAGTGGCTCCCCATTGCTGTCAAGATAAAGAGGAGACCCATGTCAAGATCTGGCCTCGGGATCCCACCCTGCCAAGCCCTCCAGCTTCACTTCCTCCCCCCCCCACCTGCACCAGCCACGTGGCCACTCTGGAAGTTCCCAGCAGGCACTAGACTGACTTCTGTGCCAAGGTCTTTGCACTTGCAGTTCCCTCGGCCTGGAGTGCCCTTTCCCCACTTCTCCACATGGTCCTCCCCATCACTTGCTTCACTTTCTTCTGGTCTCTGCTCTGTCGTCTTCCCTAATCACTCGATCAAGGGTGGCAACTGTCACACTGCCCCAGACCCCTCCAGTTCTGACTTCCTGAGTTGTTCTCAGCAGCACTTCCCACCACCTGACTTTTATGTACTTTCCCGTTTAATTATTTACTGCTGATTCCCTCCTACTGGAATGTAAGCTCAGTGAGGGCGGGAACTTCTCTCTCTTGTTACTGCTGTTTTCCCAGCACCTAGAACAGCGCCTGGCACCTCATCAGTGCTCAGTGCCTGTTGATGGAAGGAATGAAATGAACACAGGGCTCCAGCGAGCCTGGGCTGCAGCCCCCGTTCATGCTGCATCCTTTCTCCCACTCATTTCAGAATCAGTTCTTGTGTCTGATGGATCCTACGCTTTCTGGTACGTGAATTCATTTGCTCGGTAACGAGCACTGAGTACCTACTTTGTGCAGGAGCTGTTCTAGGCTGTGGATGTGGTGATGAACAGGACAGAGAAGGTCCTGCCTTCTTGGAATCTATGTTCTAGTCGAGGAGACAGACATTGATCTTGAAACCCTACCACGATGAGAGTCATGGAGCTTATAGGAGGGGTGCCTCACCCGGTGAGCATTCGAAATCTATTCGCTGTGCATGTGTTTGCAAACGGAAGCAAAGAAGTCACAAGGAGCCCTAAAAGAAAATGCTGGGGGAGTCCTCCTGGTCATTTAGGCCAGCACCCTGCCTTCCAGGCAGAATGACCCGTGGGCCTCTCAAGCCAGAAATGTGTCTGTGCTAATACGGCCCCGCTTTCTGGAAAGGCTCTTCCCTTGGTTTGAATGTGGAAATGTCAGACCCCCCCGCTGCCCTTGCTTCTTAGCCACTTGGCTCCTAAGCAAGCCTTCTGCGTGCCCATTTCCCCTATTGCCTGCATTGGGGAATTTGCTTAAGGGATGCTGCCTCTGCTCTGGCCTGCTGGGTCACCACCCCTTTCCCCCACCTGAGCTGGCCTGCCCCAGAAACCAGGCTTCCAGCCTGGGGTGGAGCCTCTCTCAATGCCTCGACCTAAAGGAACTGATCAGAATGAACAAAGCTTGGCATGTGTTAGACCCCATTCCTCCTGTTCTCAGCCCCACATAGCCTTAGTTTCCTTCCCCAATCCAGCCTCCGTTTCCCCATCGAGGCAAGGGAGCTGGGCACAGCTCCCCTCGGGTTGAGAACATGGGAGCTGAGCAGCCTTGGGCATTCTTCTGTCCCCCCATCCGCCTGCCTATTTACGTGAATGGGCTTTTAAAAAGCTGCTGGTTGGCTCAGTGGTTTCAGCCAGGTCTTTCCGGCCCCAGGGGCTGTGAGAAAGGGGTCATGCTTGCAGCTGAGGCAGGGATGTGGGCTGGGGGTGGAGAGGGGGGGCCTGGCAGGTAATGGTGTCAGGGTGAGATGCTGTGAGTGCAGGAGTGTGTGTGTTTGCATGTGCCCGTGTGTGTGAAAGGTGGGTACCCGCGTGGGGATGGTGCTCATCCTTGGGAGATTACAGAGGGACCAGTGTGGGAGCTCAGCTTGATGGAGAGCAGCAGAAGGAGGCTGGGCTGGAAGTTTCTGCCTTCTCAGCCTCTTTCTCTCCTTGCTGGGATTCCTGTGTCTCTGTGGCCCACAGCTCTCTCCCCATCATCTTCCTCTGTATGTCATCATTCTCCCTTTCTCTCACCCCTCTCTCCTGCAGGTCCATCGCTCCCCATTCTCTTCCTTCTGCGTCCCCTTATCTTTTTATCCCCCTTCTCTCCCATCAGTTTATCCCCCTTCCCTCCTCCCCGCCTCGTTTCACCCTCCCTCACCCAACTGTGCATCACTCTGCCTCAGTGATCCTTCCCTCCCGTCTCTGCCTCCTCCCCCACAGAGGAGGCTGCGATCACAGAAATATCTCAGAGCGGGAGGAGGGGCCGAGCCAGGGAGAGGTTGTCAGAGGAGCAGTGCTGAGCATGGCAGGCTTGGCTGCTGCTCTGAACGAGGCGGCCTGGTGCAGCCAGGGTTGGGCATAGGAGCTTGTGTGTCCGGCTGGCCATGGGTTCAAACCCTGCCTCCTTTCCATCATAGCTGGATAGCTTTGGACAAGTCATTTCACCTCCCTGTACCCCGGGGGTAATGCTATTTATCACATGAGACTGTTTGAAGAATCAATGAGATAATATATGTAGACCTGGCAGTCAACACATGTTAGTTCCTCTTCTTTCCTCTGGGTGGTAAGATATATGGTGCTGGGAGGCTCACTCCTTTGAGCATTTTGAGGGGGAGAAAACCACATCACTGTCAGCAGCAGCATCACCATTAGCAAAGAGTTAAGCTGGCCACCAATAACAGTCAACAACGACAACGATGATAGCTAGCACTATATGTTGCTTACTACGGGCCAGGCACTGTTTGTGTAACTTTCTGTGTATTATCTTACTTAATCCTTACTACAATCCTACGAGGTGGATGCCGTCATGATTGTCATTTTACAGATGAGAGAGTTGAGGCACAGAGATGAGAATTTCCTCACTTAAGGTCACTCAGCTCGTTAGTAACAGAGCCAGGATTTGATGTCAGGCAGCCTGACCCCAGAGTCAGCCTCGTAACCCTCACGCTCTGATCAGATGATCATGGTCAATTTAAGTCATGCAAGGTAACACGCAAGCACGCTTCCAAATAAAACTCCAACAACAGAGAGGAAGTAAAAGACCCCTCGAACCCCCATCCAGTTGTCATCTACTCCCAGGGACTCTCATCAATTTAGGACACGTCTTCCCAGTCCTTTTCCTATGGGTTTACATATTTGTTTCTGTACCTAACGAAATAGTGTTTTGTTCTGCATATTTTTTAAGACAAACGGAATCATGCAGTGTCTGTAGTTTTTCAATGTGCCATTATCACTTATTAATATGTCTTGGAGCTCTTGCCATTTGACTCATTCTTGTAAACATCTGTGTGGTGTTCCACAGTGGGAATGTACTGTGGTTTATTTAATCGCTCTCCTTTTGATGGACATTCAGGCCATTTCCAATGTTTTCCTATCCCGAGCAGTGCTGTGACACACATTCTTGTGTGTGCTGGGTATTTACGGCCACAGGAACCTGTAAGCGGAATTGCCTCCTGGAAGGGTGCTGCCAAATTGTTCTCCAGGTGGCTGCCCTCAGACAGTGACATATGCCGTGGACATGTATAAGGGACATGCAAACAACAGAATGTGGCCGTGAGGGGCCATGAGGTGGCCACAAAGCAGAGGGAAGTGGAAGGGTGAGGCTGGCACCAGCCAGACCTCAGGATGTGGTTGGTGGTTGTCATTGGCTTCTGCTCCATGAAGGCCTCTCTGTGATAGTGTTGGGGTTCCTGGAACACTACCCTTGCTGTGGCTCATAGACGCCATCCCACAAAATGGAAGCAGCATGACAAAGTAGAAAAAATGCAGTTTCTGGAGCCAGAAATGACTTTGAATCCCTGACTCGACACTTATCTGCTGTGTGACTCCTGGAAATTATTTTGCCTCTCTGAACCTCATCTGCAAAAAGGGGGTAATAATACCTGCCTCCCAGTAAGATTGAGTGGCAGAATGAATATCAAATACTGATGCACAGAAAGTGCTCAATAAACAGGGATGACAGTGCTGATTTGGGGTCATTTGGGGCATTTTGATTTAAGGCCTTGTACTGGCACAATGTGACCTGGGCAAGGTCCCCTACCCTCTCTGAGCCTCAGTTTCCTTCTCTCTTCTCTCTTGCCTGTGTTCTTTGGTCAACTCTCTGGGGAGAAGAGGAGAAAGAAAACACAGGGTTGTTCCCAGGAAGACTAAAGAAGGAATTTCAGATCACCTTGAACTCCTTCTCTGGAGTTCCTTCCCCTGGTGATTGCCCTCAAGAGATCTCCCCACGTGTCTCAGTTCCCCAGGCAGGGTCAAGGCTTCTCCTGCCCCCATCCCAGTCACCAGGAGCCAGAGGGGTTCCTGTGTGAGTGGGCCATCTAGAGACAGTGGCTTCCCTCCCCTATTGTCTCTCCCTGTGGGTGACAGCAATTCGAAGGCATGGCAGATCTCCTGGGGAGCAGGAGCCTCTTGCTCCAGGCTGACCATGGTGGGGCCATAGATTCTACTCTGGAGGAGAGAAAGTTGGAGGAGGAAAGGGAAAAAACAGATCCACTTCTCCTCCCTTCCTACAGCATGGTGAGTCTGAGCATTTGTCCTGGCATCCGGGCTGCTTTGACTGAGCCCGAGCTGCTGACAGAAGGACTGGGCTCCCAACGATGCTAAAAACTTCTCCAAACTCATACACATACCACTGCAGCGACATCAGGGCTTCCAAGTATTTGGCACTCACTCTACGTGGGGCACCGTGCATGCATTTATTATCCACACCCTCACAGCGATTCCGTGAGCTGAGTATTGTTTCTCCCATTTTGCAGATGTGGAAACAGAGACTCTCTCAAGATCACAGAGCGCGTAAGTGGTAGAGGCGTGATGTGAAGCCAGATCACTTGTCTTAAAAGCCTGACTCCTGCCTCCGCACAAGGCTGCCCCAAGACAGAGGGGAGGAATCAAGGGACTCTCTTTGGCTGCTCTTTGTGAATTTGTCCTCGTATTTCACCGGGATAAACACATTGAGGGGTGGGAGCTACAGTGTGCTTCATCTCCGCCCTCCAGGCCACCGCCATTCCGGAATCAGGCTCCCTGATCCAATAGAAAGATAGTGTTTGGTGGGGTTTCAGCACCATGGACAGGACACAAAGACTGGATCCCCTGGAGAGGCTGGGAGAGCGGAGCTGGACTGGAAGGGGAGCTCCTGCTCATGGGAACGGGGTGTGGGTTTGGCTCTGGTGCTCTGTGGCTGACACATCTTCTTGGCTTTGTCTCCTCCGCCCCCTTTCCATCTGTGGAGGTTGCTTGGGAATCCAGTTCCCTTCCTGCCTCCTTCTGACTCTTTCATCTCCCCATAACCAACCTACCACTGGCTGCCTCATGAACTAAGCTGGACTCTCATGCGGTTTAGGAAATATTGTCAGAATCCTTGGCTTTCACAGCCCAGGTGTGTTCCCAGGCAGCACACACACCTTTGCCTAGTTCAATGAATTGTGCACACCTCTACACACTGAGGTATGTATACACTTCAGCTGTAAACATAGGTGGGTCTCACTTTGTGTAAAGCTAATGTATGAAAATCCAAATTGAATACAACACGTGGTTTAGAGGAGGGCTCCACATACCAGCTTTCATGGACCTCTAGAGGTGTCTTGGATGGACTTCTAGGTGGTCTTGGAAACTGCTGGAAGTGTGGGAAATTTTCTTCTGTGCATATGTGTGTGTGTAAAATTGTATAAGGTTCTTGTGTTCTGGGGAGAGGTTTTGTGGATTTCTTTATATTCTCAATGGGCTCACGAGGTTGATAAGTTAAGAGAACCACTGGCTAAAGGATCGTCTGGTTCAGAGAACCTTTTAATGTTTTGGGACTGTCGGTCTCCAGTTTGCAAAGCCAAATTCTCACCTCCTCACGCCCATGTCCCCCTTTCGTGGCTCCTCCTTCTCTCCCTCATGCTCCTGCTCTGGAAGTCCACGTTTGGAAAGGAGGTGTCTGCTAGTCCACGGCATAATTTGAGTTGTAAAATGCCAATGTTACCAGCACCCCTAGTAATTTATAACAGATTTCATGGCAAACATTTGCTGTCTGCACATGCCTTCAAAAAATCACTGTATTAATGGCTCAGACAAAACCATCACTCCAAAATATGAAGAGAATCCATATGCAGAGAGATGGCCAAGCTTTGGACAGCAACAGCGCCTCTTTTGTTGAGTACTGTTCAGTTGCAACTAATTCTTCTAGTGCCAAAGGCTTTGGAAGGAGCCGGGACTCACGGTCCTGTGTGCCGACCGTGTTGACTGCTGTCCTTTGTGGGAGGGTGGGTCTGCTGAATGTCTGATTTGTGTTTGGGGCAGTGTTGCTGTGTCTCATTGCACTTCCTAGAGCTCCTCGTGAAGTGTTGGGTCAGGGTCAGGGCTCATGAAGGACCAGGATCAGGGCTCAGTCTATTGCTGGGGTCAGGGCTCAGTCTGGGGCTAAGGTTGGGCTCAGTCTGGTCCAGGGTCGAGGCTCAGTTTGAGACGTTGGTTATGCTGGGCTCAGTCTATGGTAGGTATCAGGGCTCAGTCTGGGACCATGAGTAGGGCTTGGTCTGGAGCCAGGGTCAAGGTTCAGTCTGGAGTCAGGGTCAGGCCTCAGTCTAGGACTACAGTTGGGACTCAGCCAAGGATCAGGGCTCAGTTTATTGCTGTTACTAGGGATCAGTCTAGAATTAGGATCAAGGCTCACTCTGTGGCCAGGATCAGGGTCAGACCGGGGCTCTTTCTCAGCTGACTCATGTGACCTTCCTTTCCGCAGGTGCCCAGGACCTCACGCCCAGGGGTGGAGTCAGCTGACAGCAGGCGCCTGGCCACCAAGCACAGCAGGAAGGCCTTGAAGGCCAGCTTGACCCTGGGCATCCTGCTGGGCATGTTCTTTGTGACGTGGCTGCCCTTCTTTCTGGCCAACATAGCCCAGGTAATGCCACTGCAGGGAGCAGGTGAGTCCAAGCCTTGCTGGGGAGGCCCCAACCGCACCCCAGCCCAGACACAGGGAGGGAGACACAGGGAGAGAAGAGGTCGGGCTGCATCTCATGGTGGATGTGTCTGTGTGCGTCTGTCCCATCCATGCTGGGTTGGGTGGTCTGTGTCCCTGCTCCAGGACCAGGCATGACACACACTATCCCTCCAGGCCGTGTGCAACTGCATCTCCCCAGGCCTCTTCGATGGCCTCACGTGGCTGGGATACTGTAACAGCACCATGAACCCCATCATCTACCCACTCTTCATGCGGGACTTCAAGCGGGCGTTGGGCAGGTTCCTGCCGTGTCCCCGCTGCCCCCGGGAGCGCCAAGCCAGCCTTGCCTCACCCTCCATGCGAACCTCTCACAGTGGCCCCCGACCGGGCCTGAGCCTGCAGCACGTTCTGCCACTGCCCCTGCCCCCGGGCTCGGACTCAGACTCAGGCTCGGGGGGCTCCTCAGGCCTGCAGCTCATGGCCCAGCTGCTGCTGCCTGGAGAGGCCACCCGGGACCCCCCGCCACCTGCCAGGGGTGCTGCTGTGGTCAACTTCTTCAACATGGATCCCGTGGAGCCCGAGCTGCGGCTGCATCCTCTTGGTACTCCCACGAACTGATCCGGGCTTGGAGCTGGTCAGCGGGAGTGGGACTGGATGGAACTAAGTCCTTGAGGCCTTGGACCAACTCTTGGCTGGGCCAGGAGGCTGCAGGTCCAGTGGGGCGAGCTCCAGTGGGGTGCACTAAATCAGCCCCCACTGCCTAACTTCAGGTCCCCTACTTAGAGGGACTGGCTCAGATGTGGCTTTTTCCAGGATGCTTCATTGCTGTGTGAGATTTGTGGGTGTGTGTAGGGGATGGTTGGAGGACTCCAGGAGTGGGGAAAAGGACCTCTTGGTTGAGATCAGGATGAAGACAATCATCTCTGCACCATCTCTCAGAGTGCATGGGAGGGATGCCTGTGTCTGCAGAGATGGACTCGCGCAGGGCTGACTCCCTCAAGCCTCTAAGCGTGGGTCATGGGCCGATGGCATCACCCGGGAGTTTGTTAAAAAAACACCTCTGCCCCACCCCAGACCTGCTGAGTGAGCACCTGCACGTTAGCAAGAGCTCCAGGTGAATCATGTGCTCATTACAGCTTGAGGTGTGTTGGCTTACGTGATCTTTAACCCTGAGCATGATTTGCTGGCGTTCTTGGACTGGCTAGCCCCTCAGGATGTATGTAGCTGCACAGAAAAACACCCGAGCCTGGGAGTCAGGAGGCATACATTTGAATCTCTGCTCCACTGCTTCCCAGCCCTTGCACAGGTTACTTAACCTCTCTGAGCCTGTTATTCCACATGCAGAATGGCATAACGATGCCTCTCCTGTAAGGTCTGATGAGAATTAAGACAATGTGCGTAGAATGCCCAGCACCTGGCAGGTGGTCAGTAGGTGGTAGCTGTCATTATAACTTCTGGCCAACCAGCCCCCTGGCCTCTGGCTGTGGGCCAGGAAGGGCTCTCTGTTCCCACTGTCCTTTCCACCTTCCTCCTCCTCTTCAGCCCTGGCCCAGATTCCCACAACCTGACTCTGGTTCCTCAACTCCTTGCTCTGGATGCTGGCAGGGCCCCCATCTCAGCTCCCAGGCTGCTGCACTGCCTTTCATGGGGGCATGGTTTCTTGTTAACATCTGGGATGGGTGGTCCTCTTCCCTGGGCTTCCTTAGACCTAGAAGGGAACAAGCTGATGGGGACAGAACCAGCCTTTTGCCCCACTTCCCCTGGTCTTCGCTGGGTCAGTGAGGGAAATGGGCGTGGTGGCTACTTGGGTCACAAGAGTTGAAGAGGAGCTGTGCCCGTGTGGGCTGGTGCCTTCGGGCAGGCAGGTGACCCTGGCACAGGGCCTGGTATTTTTAGAGGAGAGTCTTGGTGCCTACAGTTTACGTGCTGTAGGCTCCTTTTCAGTCTGAGGTTTATCTTACTCTCCACCCCCAACCAAGTTCCATCAACCCCGGGGGCTCCGCTGCTGGCCTGGCGCTCTCCTTGGTGCTGATCAGCACAACCCTGGCCTGGCCCCTGGCCGCAGACTGGCCATGGTGCTTGCTGGGCTTTTCCTCTGCCCCCAGGCCTGCCCGAGGGACTCTCCATAAGCACTAGCTGAAGGCAGTGACTGTGGGGTGGTCTGGATTCACTTGGGCTGGAGAAGCAGCTGGTGAAGTGGGAAGAGACCGTGGACACAGGTGTTCTGAGTTCCGGTCCAGACTCTGTCCCTGGTTTGCTCTGGGACCTCAGTGAAGTCATTTCCCCTCTCGGGGCCTCAGTTTTCCCTGGGTGACATGAGCTGTTTAGACTCATAGCCGCAGGAGTTCTGTAAATATTTGTTGAACCACCAAATACATATACCCCTGAGGACCAGTTCAGCTCCAACACTCCAACTGCCCCTGCCTCCCCCTCCCCACTGCCTCCTCCAGAGCTTGGCAATACTTCCTCTGCCTGGGCCTTGATTTCCCCATCTGCACAATGGGGGAGAACGATCTCTGGCCCTGTCATTCAGGGACAGCAGGAGGAACAAAGGAGACGGTTCCCATGGTTGCAGATACAGTGGCTAAGAGCTGGGGCTCTGGAGGCCAAGTGACTGGAGTTTGAGACTGACCGGCTGTGTGACCTTGAGTAGGTTGCCTAACTTCTCTGGACCTCAATATCTGCAAATATAAAATGAAGATAACAATAGTACCTACCTCACAGGGTTGTTGTGAGGGTCAACTGAGACAATCCACGTAAGCACTATGTACACGGGCAATACTCAGTAAGTGGTAGCTATTATTATTCTTTATTATAATCAGCAGCAGCAGCAGCTCTGCTCCTGCTACAGGAAATCCTTTCCCGGGATAATTCATTCTTATCACCAGGCCCAGTCCCCACCCACAGTGCACGCTGATTCAGCGTTTATTCACCTTGCTCTGTTACAGTTACATCCAGGGCGACCATGTAGCACAACTTCAGGGGGCGCCCTTCACATGATGTCTATGTGATTGATGCCCCTACAGTTGTGCAGTGCGCAGCCTGCATGGCTGTATGTGGCAGATCGGATTGGGTCTCCCAAGGGTAGAGAGAGTAAGCTGCTTGCTCCCCACCTGCGCCTGCTCTGCAGGTGCGTCAGTGGTGCCCGTGGGCTGGCGGGCAGCCCTGGAGTGGACGGAAGAGCAGGGGGAGGGCAGCAGGGGGGCCTCAGGCCTGAGAGCCCCCGGGCCTCCTGATGGACAGCCTGACCCACCGCCGTGACCTGGAGACAGCAGGCCCGGGCCTGGTGGCATCCTGGGGCTCTAAACTGGGCTGGTTGGCTTTGCGGGCTCTGGTCTTGCTTCCGGGGGAGGGGACGCTGTCTCCCTACAATTCCCCCTCCTTTCCAGGCCCTTCCTTTCAATGCCAATGCCTTCAACTTAGGAAAGGCTGCGGTGGAACTCTTCAGGGCTCACGTGGCAACCTGATGGAGGGGTAAGGGAGCGCCGCATACAGAAATCTGGAAGACGGCTCAGGCCCCCTTTTGGGGTCAGTCCAGCCCGGGGCAGGAACCCTGGGTCTCGCTGGCACAGTCGGGGCAGCCCAGTGGGTTGGGGCCCACACTGTGGCTGCAGGTTTGGGTGCTCCCCGCGGGCCTGGCAGCAACAGCAGAGGCAGCCCTCTCAGGTTGGTCCAGCTCTGTTGGCACCTGGGCGTGGCTGGGGTCAGCGCATGTGGCCACTTTGGAGGTGTCTCCGGGTGCAGGACCCCTGGTTTGCCCGTCCTGGGGGGCCGTCTTGTCTGAGGAGGCGGCGGATGCTGCCTGGCGAGGTTCCTCTGGGGGCAGGCTGCCCGGGGCCAGCGAGAGCCCCTTTTCGTCCCACCCGGGCTTGGTGGGGATGCCCACAGCCTTCAGGATGACGTCCATCTGCCTGGCATAGTCCAAGTGGCCGCTGACCTGCAGGAGGACAGTGAGTGAGGGCCACAGGGGCTGGGCAGAGCCTGGCCCTCCCCAGGGCCCCAAGCTGAGCTCCTGGGCCTCACCCTCTCCCCACCAACCCCAATGCCATGACTCCAGCTCTCAGCGACCCTGCAATCCAGAGTGGGATGGGCAGCGTCTAGGGTCAAGGCTGCTCTAGAATCCGTTAAATAAAGACGGAGGCAGCTTCTCTACTAATCTGGTCCTCCGCGGGCAGGGGGGGCTCTCCTGATAGATGGGAAGGTGGAGAGGAAGTTCTCATCCTCTGCCTGCAGCTTCAGGTTACATCTGCTGCACACCCGCTCCGGGACCCCGGGCAGGCCCTTTTCTCCCTCCGACCTCTACTCGCCTCAGCTGTAAGATGGGGACGATAAGAGCAGCTACACAGGGGGCTGCTGTGAGGACTCCCTCAAATTGAAAAGAGAGTTATGGTACAGGCTGCAAGGAAGTTTCTACGATTTACGCTTCCCCTTTTCTCTTAGTCATAAGACTCCAGTTTATAGCTGGGTACATCTCAGCCTCCCTTGCAGCTAAGTGCAGCATCGTGACAAGTTCCGGCCAATGAGATGAAGAGTGGTGTTATGTGGTGCTCCTTGGAAGTCTCTTTAAAAGAGGGAGTGCTCTTCTTTTCCCCCTATTTCCTCTTTCCTGCTGGCTGGAATTCAGACATGATGGCCAGAGCTTCAGCTGCCATCTTGGGCCATGAGTCAGTCCACCAAGAATGGCAGAGCAGCAAGACAGAGGGAATTTTGGCTCCTGAAGACTGTGGAGCCACCACGCCAGCCCTGAACTGCCTATTCTAGACGTTTCTTACATGACAGCATCAAGTCGTGTGTGTTTAAGCCATTTCAGCTGGGCCTCTCTTATAAGGATCTGAATCTTCACTAAGACAAGGACCAAGAACTCGGAAGTGCCCACTCCCTTCCTCAGAGAATAGAGACACCCCCACTTTGGGCGGGAGGGTGTCAGTGAATGCAGAGCACGGGTGTGACCGGAATGCCCGATGCCTAACTGTGACGATGGACAATGCCGTACACACAGCATCCCTAACACATCGTGGAAAATGGACTTTTTGCTTTTTAAGATTGGCACCTGAGCTAACATTCATTACTCATCTTTTTTTTTCCTCCCTAAAGCCCCCCAGTACATAGTTGTATATTCTAGTTGTGGGTCCTTCTGTTTGTGGCATGTGGGCACCACCTCAGCGTGGCCTGATGAACAGTGCCATCTCCGCACCCAGAATCTGAACTGGTGAAACCCGGGGCCACCAAAGTGGAACGCGTGAACCCAACCACTCAGCTATGGGGCCGGCCCTGGGAAATGCACTTATCAGACACCCTCCTTTGACAGGTGTTGGCTGCTAACTGTACATAAAGAAATTGAGCCACAGAGAGGTAAGGTGACTTGCCCAAGGTTGCACAGCTAAAAAGTGTCAGAGCTGGGATTTGAATCCAGGCCTGTTCTCTTCAATCCGTTGGGGAGGGCAGACTTTAAAAATCATTCTCATTTTATAGATGAGGAAAGTGAAGCCCAGAGAGGGTGGTGGTTTGCTTAATGACACACAGCGCGTGAAGAGCAAAGCCATCTGCTGCGTGCTTGAGGTGCTGCATGTGGAGGCTGCTCAGCTCAGATTTGCTCCCTGAAATGCAGCCCCGTGCTCTCCCCAGCCAGTCGAGGGGGCCTGTGTTAGTGCGAAAGGCGAGCATGAGAGAGAACATTCCTTCAAGGCTCAAGAGGGAGGTTTTTGTTAAAAGATGACAGGCAAACGCTGCTGGGAATCTTGGGAAACAACAAAGGCTGGCTGGTAACATCTGCATTTCCGTTTGAATCAAAGATCACAGCGGGTTATTCAAATGGTTTTTCAAGACAACAAGAAGACAATTCCCGGTACTGTTCTGCTATTTTCTCATAACCAGAACCTGCCTACTTCTTGTCCTTTTGTTATAAATGACTTTAAAGTGTGAAAATACACACATGTACACACCTAAGGGGCTTCTCATATCCCTGGGCTCAGAGTGGAGGGTGGGGTGGGGCAGTGTCCTTGCACAGAGGGTGGACATGAGCGGCTGCAGGGCACTAGAAAGATCCCAACGCTGGGGTCAGAGAGATGGGGGTTCCAGCCTCGGCTTCGTCTCTTCCTAGTCACTGTGCGAGTCTTTACAACGTCCTGAATGCTAACTTCCCCCTCTGTGCAATGAGGATCAAGACACCTTCCTTGAGCGTCTGCTACAAGGAGCTCAGGGCTTGGCACTCTGTAGACACTCCGTAACATGCTCCCTCTGACTATTAAGTTCCATATGTGACCCAAACCCTTTTATCTTAGACATTACCCAAATCAAGTTAGTGATACCCACTTCATGGGGTCAGTGGGAAGAAATAATACATATAAACCACAAGGCACAGTGCCTGGCACATACTAGGTGCTGCATAAATATGAGTTCCTTTACTTTAATTTCCTTGGAAGGGGGGATAGAAAGTGGGGAGTTAGCTGGGCTGATGCATTAGAGAGCCCGAGATGGCTGCTGAAGCTCCAACCATCATGTCTGAATTCCAGCCAGCAGAAACCTAGATCCACAGGGATAGAGAAGAATTGCCTCCCTATACCTTTTTGATGTTGGTGAAGGGCTGGTCCCAGGGCTGGGTGGAGGCAGACAGGCCAGGAAGGAAGGGAGGTGTTTGTGGCTACCAGCTACGGCAAATTCCAGATGGAAATTCCACCATGTTGCTGTCCTAGAAGGCACAGCTCCGGCCCTCCTCGGTTACCAGTGGGGCCAGGTCTCAGCCAACCCTGGTCCCTGAGCTGCCATTCTGCAAAGACCCAGGGGGAGAACTCGCAGGCAGAGGGATGGCGAGCAGGGTGAGGTGGGCGGGAGAAGAACCTCTTCTCGGCAGTGGAAAGTTCTGGCGTGGCTGGTGCTGGATACAGATTTCAGCCCATGTCCACCTCTCTGGCGGTCTTGACTGAATCCGGCCATGTGCCCGGATACACGCTGGATATCCCTGTGCTGAGCGGCCTTCCTTGACCTTTCCACACCGCTCGGGACCCTCCCTGGGGCTCCCCAGTGACAGCATTCACTACACCCCCGTCTTCACCTGCCCTCTCGTCCACGTTCTCTGATAGACTTCGAGCTCGGGGGCGCAGGGACCGTTTCTAACTCGCCTCTGCTCCCTGTGGCTGGCCCTGCACGTCACGAGCGCTCAGCGCTACAGGACGCACGCGCTCTGGACGGGCCTCAGCCCTTCCTGTTTCCTGCCTTGCAGGACACCTTGACTCACCCAAACGGAGGCGGCTGCCACCGCCGTGGTCTGCCCAACAACCCTTTCGAGTTCCTTCACCTCTTGAGCCTCAGTTTCCTCATCTGTAAAACGGGGCCGATAAAGACACCTGCACACGTGGCTGGCTGTGAGGACGCAGTGAGATGACAATGTAACCGGCTCACCGGCCAGAGTTGGAGGTCACTGAGCGGGAGCCACAGAGACGCGTGAGCTCAGGTGGCTGAGCCTGGGTGCTGAGGCCGGTTCCCCGGGTCCATCCTGCTCTGCCACTCACACGCAGCCTCAGTGTCCACATCTGTACAACGGGGTTGTCACTCCCGCCTCCTGGGACCGCTCTGAGCCTCAGAGGACATCAGGTAGAGCAGTGCCCGCCACACGTTGCTACTGCTGTTGTTATTATTATCATTATTGTCTATTC